TCATAATGCCTCATATATGGCACGAGGCGCTTCTTTAGGGGGTTGGGGGCGGCCCATCTTCATTTTCCTCTTTTCTTGCGGGGTTGAACACACGTGTTTTGCTCGTTCGGAGGCGAATAGTTCTAAAAGGCGGCGTTATTTGACAGAGTTATAAGTTTGAAACATTCTTTCTGGTTTGCGCGGAAAAGGATTTGTTATTTTGTTAGAGAGTCTGAAATATTTTCGAATTTTCGTCGTTGTTTATCACCTCTGTCCCGCATTTTCTCCTCCAGCTTTTCCGGCCACGCATGAATGGTCAGTCATGCTTAAGTCAAGAGTATAACTGATAGGATCTTTTGGTGAGAATCGTTGTTCTACTCTTGAAAAAGTTGAACTCTTTTTCACTTCTTCGAAAAGGATGCCTGCATTGAAATAGTTGAGTAAACTTTCTTCTAATTTCTAAGCTTAATAGCCAACCGTGAGTCTCTCGAAGTGTCAGACGGTGGTTTTGTCAACTATTACGCATCGATTGACAGGTTTTCGACTTCAGAGACTTCATTTTTTTTTTTTTGACATCATGAAATAGCTATACGTAACATTTTTCCTTCGAACTAATGTGACGGGTAACTTCACTGGCTAATAACTATGCAGGTGAATGGTGAAACTGAATGCTGTTAATTCATCACGTTTGAAAGACATTTCTTTTCACTGTTCTTGGCTTGCCACTACTGAGTTTTTTCTGGAGATATATTAATTTTTTGAGCTTCTATTGTCAAAACGTTTTGAAACCTAATTAGATTTGCTTTTGTTACGGAATTGGGTGAACGCGAAAATATTGTCTTTTAATTCTTCTAGCTTTATTCTGAAATAGAAACTCGTAGGAGAAGTAACATAGTTATATATTCATACATTAGATGATTTATTGATTCCCATTGAATATTTTTTGTCAAGAGCTAAATAGAGGTTTTTTCAAGACTGAGTATTGTAATCAATCTGATAATCGCTTTTGTCTAAGAAAAAAAACTCAATTCAGCACATTAAAGTTACTTTATTTGGCCTTTTTTTTTTTTTTTTTTTTGATAGTTCTAGAAATTAAGACTCTTACTATTCTTTAACGTCTTTTCTGCATTAAATTATCAAATTTTACACTCATGTGTAAATGAACTTTAGGATTTTAACTTAAGTAAACTGGATTTCAGTATTCATCTATTTCGCATTTCTTTCCAGTAAATGGATTTTACAGTCGCAAGAAAAATCAAGTTCTTTCACTGTGCACGTGCCTTCTTCTACATGGATTTGAACTGCAGGGATCTAGAAAATAAAAGGAATATAAATTACATACTTATACTTTTCCACATTCAGTTCTGATGCTCACTCACAAATGTGCATCAGATTCGATGTGAAGTGTATTCATATTAAGTACTTGTATGATTATTTCACCCGTCATTGAAAGAATGTTAAATGAGTAATTGCAGTGAAGTTTCAATTTAATACAATGCACTTTTATAGACGAGAATATTATTATAATTAGTACGGGAATTTTTAGACATCCTTTTATAGTGGAATGTTGTTAGCTATTGGTAATTGGATTTCTATTATTTATGAATAACTTCGAACACATAAAATGTTTCTTATTTATTTCACGCTTACACAACTTTGTATTTCTCTCTTTGAAAAAAAGATTGCTCAACCAAAAAGAAAAATCGAAATAATTTAATTTAGAATTATTACATATCTTATAAACAAATTTGCTGATCAGCCAAAGCTTCTGAAATTGATTTAGATTATTTATACTACTATAAAGCATTGATGAGCTATCTGCCCACGCAGAAGAATAATTTTTCGGAGAACATTGTAAAGAAAATTAGTGAAAATTAGTTCACATATACATTACACTTGCGAAAAATCATGAAAACTCCTATGCAGCCTGTCCATTCTCAATTTGAATCTGGGTCGAACTATCAGTGTTACGTGGCACTAGTGCTCAACCTTTGGCGTTTCTTAAGCCCGCTAAATGATCAAGTGTGTTAGAGCAGAAGATTGTAAACTGCGTTTATATCTTTTTGGTAAATTCTATAAAAGATGCGTTTATATTTATAAAATCTGAATGTTTTATGCATCCACTAAAATGTTCACGTGTTTCTTCTGCAAATTCCTTTATAAAAGATTATTTCAGTGTTTGATCTTAACATATATAGTGGTATCAAGCGTAGGGAACACCCCGCGCAACGAAAGCGTGTAATAGTCTAAAAGTGGACCGTGTAACGAATCACACACGAAACGTTACGCTTATTATCACTTCGAACGTAAAACTAAATGCTTTTTAACTTCTGATTATGAAAATAAATAATAAAATAAAATTACAAATGGTGAAAGAAGTAATAAAATAAATAATAATAAATGCAAATACCAGTCAGTGAAAAATTGCAAAATTTAACATAAAAAAACAGCAAATAATCACATCTCTTACTATTGCTTTACTGGTGTGCAAAAATTAAGGACGAGACGGTTTTTTCAATATAACTTTGTACAAAAGCTTTCCAAATCAACACATTTAATACCGTAAGATCCCCAATACGTAAGGACATGAGTAATGTAAGCAAAACTTACTAAAAGAGAAATCAGAGGGATAAAAAGAAGCTTTACTGAAAAAGTAGCATGGAGCGCAATGCGACTGAAGGCCGAAACATCCCTGTGATGGGTGTCCAGCAAGGAACATCCGGTCTTTAATAGGGGATATGATCTCCCCTGACTGGCTAGGCAGGTTTCACAGCGTCTGTCCATGCTGAGAATGAGGGTATCAATGAGTTGTTGAGGCATTGCTGCCCATTCGTCTTGCAGCGCCAATCGAAGCTCCGGAATCGTTACTGGTGGTAAGGTACGAGCTGCCAAGCGTCTGCCTAGAAAATCCCATTCATGCTCGATGAGAATGAGATCCGGAGATCGTGCCGGCCAATCCATACGTTTAATATCCTCACTCTCTAAGAGCTGTTCGGCAGCTACTGTGCGATGACATGGTGCATTGTCGTCCATGAAAAGGAACTGCGGACCCATAGCGCCTCTATACATACAGAAGAATCTCGTTACGATAACGGGTCCCGTTGACTGAACCTGCGTCGAAGATGTGAAGGTCTGTACGACTACCAAGCACGATGCCTCCCCAAACGAGAACACCGCCACCTCCATACCTGTCCCTTTCAATGATGTTCGAGGGATGATTGCGGCTTCCCCGCTCTCTCCAGATGAGTATGCGATGCGAATCGCTACTCAGACTGAATCTGCTCTCATCTGTAAAGAGTACTCGTCCCCATTCATTGTCTCTCCAATTCCGGTGTTCCCGGCACCACAGAGAACGCCTTCTCCTATGGGCAGGCTTCAGAGGTACACACCGTATAGGGCGTCGTGCAAACAGACCACCACCGTGCAGTCTTCTGGCCACGGTAAAACGCGATATTGTTCGTCCAGTCGCCTGTGTCGTGTGTCTAGCGATTTCTCCCGCTGTCTGCTGCTTGTTTCTTCTGGCCTGTAAGGCAATATACCGGTCATCTGCGGGTGTGGTTCCTCATGGACGACCACTACTAAACCCCTCAGATAGCTGTTCCTGTAGTTTGAAATTCTCTCCAAAGTCGTGAAACGATGCTGTGAGCAATTCCGAACTCTGCAGCCACACTTGTCACACTGCGGCCTTCCTCCAACTTCCCAATGATTCGACCTCGGGTAAAAGCATCCAGATGTCCTCTAACAGATTGATTATTCGCCATTTCTCGCTGAGGCAGCAACTCGGTGTGATTTTAACTGCTATACGGCGTGCAATCTCTTTGCCAGAAATACTGATCTTACACCGACAACATGCTTTATACTACTCAGACACTCTCCCATTACGTCTACCTGCATATCTGCGCATGTGCTACCGTACATCACCTTACTTAATCTCCTGATTGGTCTTTCTGTCCGCTCTGCCTCTTCGTTCAGCTGATATGCTAATTTTCGACTTCGTCCTTAATTTTTGCACACCAGTGTAAGTTAACTTTTAGCAGCAGCATAAGGAAGCCCACAGGTAATGTGTTTTCAACGAGAAAAAGAGAACAGGAATGGTTCATTCCTACTGCAACTATCAAGGTCCTTCTTAAGCAATTGACAGTTATACAGACCATAGTCAAGCAAGGTAATCTTAACCAAACCGAAGTAGTAGCAAAGTGCTATAAAATAGCAGACGTATTCAGTAATAATGCTTGCCATACCTTAATTCTGGGGCCCACCAGCGGCCGAGCGGTAAAATCGCTGAATACTGGTAGTTCGGTCCGAGGTTCGAATCCTGAGAACGGGCTGGCAGCATGGGCGTTTTCGTGGTTTTCCCCATGTGTAACATGTATACGAGCCAGTTTCCCTTAAAACGTTCTCCACAAAGGCATCCTTCCCCTTAGGCAGATAGCCCTATTGTGCTTTACCATAATCACACACGTACATATTATTATATTTATTAAGGACTGTCCTTGATTCATTGTTTACAGCTATATTTCATCTCTTCATTCAAGTAACCAAAGCAGTAAAAGTGAATATTTGAAAGGTAATATGTGGATGAAAGCAAATGGAGAAGATACACGATCAATGACAAATTTTACAAAATCATCTCGATAGATTACGGTGAAATTAAGGTACATGTCTACATACTCTCACTATTTGCATACCAACAAAACTTCTCAAGCTATTCTTTCACTAAAGCTGCTTTTTGAGGATGAACATTATTATTCATCACATGAAAGAGAGGATTCATTACCGTAGCACAGAATTTCAAGAAGGGTTCAAGGAGTTTTAATTTCATCTGCTTTCAGTCTTGACAGTACTTTTCTGAATACGAGTAGATCGATGCACTAAATCTGAACCCATATCATCATACTTTCAAGAAAAAGGAGTGCTGTTGAAAGGTTTTTTCATGCTTATTGCACGTTTCTGATTATCGCCGTATAATTACTCTTTCATTATCGGATTCTGAAGCAAATCTTGGTTCATCTGTAATGACTATTTAAAATTTGTAAAATCGCTTTCTGTTCACTCCTGCTCAGTCAATCTATCGAGTGGTCAAGATGGATGAATACTGGCAATTCGATATAGAATAGAACCCAGGTGAATAAGCTGGCTGCATGCGCGGTTTTCTCCAATTGAAATTTGAACAATAAAGAGTTTTGCTTAGAATGCCATCCACGAAACATCTCTCGCCTTCGGCAGATAACTTTCGTATGTCTTTCGACATAACCTAACCTAGCGTAATCTTAATCGTGCTATTTTAGCTTTAATATTTAAAGGAGCAAATTCCCTTTATGAACGGAGATATAATTCTTTGGTATTTAGTCTTTTCCTCATGCTAACGGCAGGTACAGATGTTCCTACTGCTGTAGTATGTACTTCATAGAGTTATTCGTTGACTGCTTTTAATAAGTGACGGTCAAAGTCTGGAAAAAGACTAAAGATGATCAGTAATGAGTCTCAGGTAATTAAACTCCTTGTCTGGAAATATTTCCATAAACGAGGAATGAGCTGCAGAAAAATTAGGCATTTCCTTAGTAAACTGTTTTTCTTCAAATACTTCACTCTTATTTGGAAAAGAGTCTGCCAACATCAACCAGAAAATGTTTTCGTGCTTGAAAACTTTCAACTCCATATTCTATCCGTAAAAACTAAGAGCAAAGCACAAAATTTATTAAAAAATCATTTGCAGAAAGCCTCATTGGATATTTCTTTGCTCAAAGAACGTTGTTTTGAATCTCCCTCTGGGCGTATTTCATTCAATCAGAAATATGGTAAGCCATTTCGAGAAGTAATACGAGCAAGTTCTCGATGATTCCATTTGAACAACAACGCAGAAGTAAAACAGAAAGCATTAGAATTATAATTTTAATTAGGTTATACAGGTTACCAGTAGAAAATGAATATGGAATAATGTAGAGGGAGTTGCAAATTTTATAATTCATTACAAAAGTAACGCATGGAAAAAATATTATAAATACTAATTCCCCACCTTCTGAACACACAAAAAAGTCAATACTGTAAAACTTTAAGCTATGCTATGCAAAAAACATAAAAGTTATAATTTTAATTTGTTTTTTTTTTATTATTTTTTTAAAAGAAGAAACCTCACTACCCATTATTTCCTTAGCTGGGGCTTTTATAGGTGCATCTCAATCTATGCTGACAATGTTATGGAGCTAGAGTCACGGCACCAAAAATGTTATGTTTTTTTTTTTTTTAATTTTTAAATTTTTATTTTTACCTTCTAATTTTCCTAAGTTACCAAAAGGGGTACCCTACTAATTTACCATAACACCATAGTACTCTTTCCTACCATAACATTCCAGTATCAATAACCTGTTCTAATTGCGTAGTGTTTATTTTGGAATAACCCTAAAATTCATTTGAGTAAGACTGGTAAAAGTTATGAACACACAAAATAAATTTAACCTTTGAATGATCTAGAAAAACTTATTTATTTAACTATTAATGCAAATTATATATATATATCCATTAGTTGAAAAAAATCAAAATATAATCAACAAAATTTGAACTATTGTTTATCACATCCAACATCTCTGAGTAATTATTTTTTTAACATCCTTGTAATTACTATTAAATTTAATATTGCAAATCTGGTAAAACATACCAAAATAAACTATAAATTTAAGAACACTACCCTCCCCAGGGAGAAAATAATAAAAAAAAATAAATTTAACAATTACACTTTCCCCTTCACACAGAATTCATCAATACAACAAAAAATATTGCTTAATACTGCACTCAATACCATCATTTAAATACTATTATTGCACATAATAATTTTTAATATTTATTTTTTTTTCTTTGATTAATTAAATATGGTTTTTTAACCGGATAAAGATAAGTACTGACACATTTATACTTCTACAAACAAGTTCGTCCTGAGAGAAGCAAGGATGCTCTAATACAAGCACTATTACAAATCATTCTCACGAATGAGAAATTCAAAAAAAAAAAAAAAAAAAAAAAAAAAAATCAATTAAATAATTTCCTGAAGAACTTAAATTTCTTAACCATTAAGTTAAGTTACAATAATTTAACATAAGGTTAAGTTACAATAATTTTAATAAGGTTATAAACCTGTATTCAATTTAATGCTTTTACTTAATTGATACACCAAAGAAAAATGATTTCTATAGAGTTAGGATAAAGTTATCAACTACAAAAAAAATTTAAGGTTCAACAAATTAAGTTAATTCAATCATTTTAACTGCAGAAATCTATAATAATTAACTAACCAAGAATTAACCAAAAAAAAAAAAAAAAAAAAAAAAAAAAAAGAAAAGAAAAGAACTTATCTGTTCGCTGAGCAGAGGGAAATCAAACACCAAAAAAATCCATCGAAGCTCATGAGGAATGCTGGCAGCCTGTTGAATGGAAAAAAAATGTTCGTCGAGTTGTATGGAGTCATTACGGTAGCCTAGAAGTTCTAGTAGATTTTAGGATGAACAAATGAGGTTCCAATACGGCAAGATAAGTGAAATACAGTTCCGGATTTGGAGATACTAGAAGATTATGATGAACAAATGAGGATCTAAACAGGCCAATATTGAATACAGTCCCGGATATGGAGATACGAGAAAAATTAACAGGAACTAACTTTCAAACCAATTCCCTGACATCTTCAGCGGAAATGAGGAATCAAATTCTAAAAGGTTCCAAAAGCAACGGTTGTAAATTAACGCTCTGTTTCAGAGTAAAGTGACGAATCATATGGGTGAGCTGGGAGCACGCATCATTTAGCGACGAATCATATGGGTGAGCTGGGAGCACGCATCATTTTTCTAGAAATTTACTTCTGTATATTTTTCTTGAGATACACAAACACACACACACACAAAAAAAAAAAAAAAACTGATGAAAGAATTTAGAAATTTTGCGAAGACATAGATGCCCATACCTACGCTTAGCGCTTAGCCAAGAGGCCCGTAGGTCTATCGGGGCGAAGCTCCATTTTCTTCGTAGGAGTCAACTATCGCCTCTGGCCGATGCAATTCAAACGGCAAAAGAAGTGTCAAAAAAAGTGTAAAAGTGTCCTCGTTCCACAAAATAACCCGTTAAAAGGGAGAGCGCTGGACTGCCAAGTTGGCACAACCCATTAATTACCGAAAGTTAAAATAGTTGCAACAACAGCATACCCTCATGTTATCAAACTCGCCAAATCCACTACTTTGAAACCTCAACGGAAAATCTATGTCGCCAAACCCTCGCCAAATAAACACCACCTGTGACAGGGGGAAATTAGGAATTTCAACAACCCTGCAAGGGTCCCAACGAAAGAACGCTGAAAACTCGCAAAAAGTGACTTTTCAACCGGAAGGAAGGCATTTCATCCCCCTTTAGCTAAATCACAAGCAAACGAAGAAAAATCTACTAATTAAAGCTCATAAGTGAAAGGAAATTAAAGTTAGAAAAACGAAAGTTATGCCAAATTAAAGAGCTAATTTTTCTGCAACAATGATATTAAATACTAAGAAATCAAATTAATTTTTGACATGAAAAACTGAGTTTATTACGTGAAAAAAATCACTTATCCATTGTTTGCGTGTACAAGATTCAAGACGCAGTTCTTGTAAACTCGGAAAGCCAAAATATATTACACTAGAGTTTATAGGCCAAAAAAGAATATAACCAAACTTGTGTAGCTCAAATTTTGAATAATTACAAAATTAAAATTTTGATTTTTATGAATCACTTAAATTAAATTCGCTACACAACAACAATATTATACCATGAATTCAATTTCTGGATTTTATAATGCAAAGAAAGTTCGGATTTTAGAAAGATATATTAAATCTTTAAAGAATTTAATAAAGTTTATCGTAGTCAAGAAATAACTTTTTATACACTTACTTTTATTTACAATTGCAAACGCAATTTCTAGTTTTTAAATAATTTACTACTAAATAGATACCTCTCTCACAAAACTCTCCTGAATATGGTTTCCTGCATTTGCATTTAAGGATTCCATTAACTGTTTCGCATTTTCCACCCTTCTGGCAGGGATTTGGTTCACAGAGATCTGAGATGAAAACCAAAATACATAAAGAAGTCTGTATAAAAACGTGTTTTCTAATGAGAAACAAAAAAAAAGAAGTTTCATTTGAAATAATTACTCTTTTCGCAGCTTTCTCCGGAATATGGAGATTTACAGGAACAGTTATATCCGGTGGTGGTTAAGTTACATTTACCGTCATTTTTACATGGATTCGGTACACAGGGATCTGGAAAAGAGGAAAATGGGAATAAGTAATTTATTCATACTCCTCCCCCCAAAACGATCTTTATAGTTTAATTTTGGAAAAGTTTCAATATGTGCAGTTCTAAAATAATTTATTGTGAAATTTTAGCTTTAAAGACCCAGTTATCTATTTTTCAATGGAAGTATTTACACATTGTGGAATTTGTAGATATTATACGAAATTTGCAGATTTCTCATCTTTTAAATTTAATCTGTGCTTTTATTTCAGCTGCTTATAATACAAACTGAGGAAAAAAACTAATTACTACCATTATAAATAACCACTTCGCTATGGCTAATCTGCTGTTTCCTGGCAGCTAGTTCTGGCTCAGACTTCATTTTTCTGAATCGAATGAGGCTCTGACTTCATTTTTCTTTACTTGAAATTGTGATTTATTAATAAATATTCTTTTTTATTCTATTATGGTCCTTGCATTTATTGTAGGTCTGTAAGATAACTAAGTTTCCAAGTCACATGTGTTCTTGAAAATTACTAAGATTTTTTGTTTCTATACTTTTGACTTTTACATTTAGAACTACATAGCTGACGTAACAATTTGAAAACTTATTGGCCGCTATAAAGGGTTATTAAACAAAATATTTAGTGCATATGAAGGAGATTTGTCAGAAAAATAGTTAGTATTTATGATCTGGTAATTCTCCGATAGAGTATTAAAAGTAAAATTCTATTATATATTCAGTAAGTATAACAGGTGACAGGTGAGAGCGGATTCGGACACCCGGGGCGGCTTACTAGGACTAGTCCCGTATCGTCCGGAATCCGCAACTGTAGGTACAAGGCGATAATTCTTTGGCGTCCTAGAAGCCCGGCGTCAGGAGCTTAATAAAAACTAAGTATAAAACAGAATCAGAATAATTTGTTGAAAATTGTATTGATATTAAAACATTCCACAAAGCTGCATTCGATAAATTTATTGAAAGTGCTGTGTGCTGATCAAAATATTAATGTGAATCTTCGAGGATTAAGTATTAATCCATTCTCTCGCGTTCTTGCCATTTTGGGGGTTAATATACTGTTCTGGATTATTCTAGGCATGTTTAATTTTGGATCTTTCTGGAATAGAGTTTTCCATCTAAAAATACTCTATAAATTGCGGCAAAGTTCCAAAACATATTCTAGTATACTTACGAAATGAAAATCTGCGAATTAGCGAAACTCAAGCATTTATATTTCCAAGATTTGCTGCACTATGGTAATAATTTACTCACTGAAATAGTTTATGTATATTACATAACGCTTTAAGTTAAAAAAGTAAAATTTCTGAATCAAAAACACAAGGGAAGTATTAATATTATAACAAAAAACTGTGTTCTTGAAATAATAATTAACTTTTAAAATGCTTGATTACGAAAAAACGTGTGTCGTGTCATATAATACATTGCGAACCTACTAAATCCAACGTTCTAGTAAATTGATACAACTCACTTACGCTCATAGGTGCATGCAATTAATTTACGAGAATAGTTAGCCTTTAATATTCGCTTTTATCGGAATTTGCTTAGCGCGGAACTGAAATTTTGCTACGAAAAGCCCAGCTGTGGTAAGATACTTCCCTGCAAAGCCGGTTTAGGATTGCAAGAAATTGCCAAGGATAGACAGTGTTGCCAAATTTGGTACGAAATCGCCCATTTTGTGACAAAATTAGCGATATGCTTAGCGAGAACGCAATTTCCGTTCCAATGTAGACCACAAAGGTTCGATAATATTCAGGTCTGGTGACTGTGGTGGCCAGGGGAGATGGGACAACTCATCCTCGTGCTCAGAAAACCAGTCCTGGACAATGTGAGCTGTGTGAACAGGGGCTTTGTCGTCTTGGAAGACATCATCACCATCGGGGAACAAAGTTTGTACCATGGGATGAACTTGATCAGCCAAAATGTTCACATAAGTCTTGGCAGTCATGTGCCCTGACACAGTTATCATGGGGCTAGCAGAGAACCACGATATGGCTGCCCAAACCATAACAGAACCACCGCCATGTTTCACTCTTGGCAACAAGCAGTTTGTATTATAGGCTTGAGATGGCGTTCTCCAGCCGTAAACTCGGCCAGAAGTGGGAAACAATGTGAAAGAAGACTCGTCAGACCATATTACTCGCTTCTACTGCTCTATAGTCCAGGCTTTATGACTTAAACACCACCTTTTCCTGTTACGGGCATTAGCATCACTGATGAGTGGCTTCTCAATTGCAGCACGGCCAGCAATTCCCTGTTTATGAAGCTCCCTTCTAATTGTTTTGGTACTCACAGGGTTCGGTAACATAACATTCATTTCAGCAGTAACTTTTGCAGCTGTGGTCTTCTTATTTTTCGTCACAATTGCCCTTAATGATCGTCTGTCACGATCACTCAGGACACACTTTCGTCCGCATTGTGATTTAGCAGATGATGTTTTTCCGCTTTTCAAATATGCGGAATAAATCTTCGATATAGTACCTCTTGAAACACTAAACACCTCGGCTACCTTGCTTACGGAAGCACCTACCATACGTGCTCCAACAATTTGCCCACGTTCGAAGTCTGTTAACTCTGACATAATGCAATGACAACCTCACATAACAGTACTCCGACAACAACTGAACTGTTTAGCACATTTACGAAGTTGTATAGGTGGCGTCAGTAGTCAAAATTGCCAGCGCCACCTATATATTTCATTAAAATCAATCTTTCTTTTCAAACATGCATTTCACAAGGTGTTTCCATATTTTTGTCCATCCACTGTATATCTCTAATGAAATTCAAAGATATATATATATAAAGATTAAATGAAGTACAGCGAAAATGCATATATTTTAATAGGCCGTTCAAGAAAGTCATATTGTGTTCACATCATTTATTTTACATTCCACATGCTAAAGTTCATGTCTATTATTAAATAATGAAGAATCTGTTTGCATGTATGTTTCTACATTCCTCGCATTGCGGCAACACCTAAAGCCATCAGATCTTTAATATACGTAGTCCCTCATCCGAAAATAAGATTTCTTTTTAATTGATTTAATTTTTCATACCAATTTAATGAATTTTTGGTTAACAAATAAAACAATTTGGAATCCAGCATTTTCAAAACTGTTCGACATAAAACACTAATATTCAGCTCATCAGACTTTTTTCATTTGACAAAACGCAAAATATGTATCTTCCAAGTTTAATTAATAAGCTCACTTGTTTAAATGACGTGCTATTTAAATGCCCCTGCCTGAAATGAAATAAAGTAGTGTAACCGCAACTTATTAATTGTATTTCAAATGTATTTTCCCAATTGGCAACAACAGTTTTTTTCAGAACGATAATAATTTGAACTGTAATGTTTTTAAGCAGTAATGTTGACGGTAATGTTTCTGAATAAAGCAAGTATCTAACAATTAATGTTTGAATGGTAATGTTTGACGGAATGTGTTTTTAATAAAGGGACTAATTAATTGCTAACATTTCAGAAGTGGGATAAACTAGAATTAATATCTAGATTTAACAACGTATTGCCTTAACGTACGCTAAGCCTAAACTGAATGCGGAAGCTCGCCTAAACTGAAAGTAGAAAGGTACGTAAATTTATAAACTGTTCATGTTATGTCTAAGTACTAAACGGAAAGAACTTAAGTACAATTATTGTATTATTATTTGAAAATTGAAGTCTAAGATGGCCTAACTTTATGTTGTGGATGATGTAATCAATGACGTCAACTTACTTAAAAAGTAATTGGTTTTATTAATATCTATAAATTTAATCTAATGTTTTAAACATTATTTATGGCTTTTAAATATTAAAATAAAACTTAATTTTACATTTGTTTTAAAAATGATTTTATTATGAATGATTATTTAAATAATTTTAATTCTATGCGTGATGTAATCAGCTTCTTGATTGGTTACTGAATATTTGTGCATTACCGCGCCATTTTAAAATTTTATTAATCATCTCTTCAAATTCCTCAGATTTCAAATGGAACGGATATCTCCGTTTCGAAGATGAATGTTGTTATGGTAATTACCAAGAATTATTGGTATTGGAGTAAAACAATTGCCCTTTGAGACCTTATTTTGGCCAACCTGTCTTTTCTAATCTAAGATTCCTAATCTACGATTTATTTATAAATTGGCTACTTTTCCGTTTGGCCGGCGCAATTTCCCATTCCGCCGGCGCAAGCGATAAAGTCGCCGAAAATGGTAGAACTGATGCCAAAGGGAATATCTTCGCTGATAACCTTTCACGGCACTTTTTCAAAACAAGTCGCTGAGATTTATTATCAGATTTACTTTTTTTTTTTTTTTTTCAATATTGGCATACATTTACATAGAATTTTTTTAATTATAATATTGAAATAATTCTTGCATTTAAACTCGTGTTCCATACTGAGATTTAACTTGAAATTAATGTAGATAATTCCTGAGAGAATCAGATTTTGGTAGCGTACTTTACGTGAGATGAGATCGTTTGGGATCACGTGATATTATCCTGCGAATCAAGAGGTTATACCATGAAAGCATAGTACATCTTTAATTTAACGTCTTTAAATTCTTAAATTAACGTCTTTTACAAATATGTCAAAAATGGATGAAAAACCAATGAAAATTTGGGATTTGCCCAGGACAGAGGAAGAATCCGTCAGATTCTTTCAAGCGAAAGGCGTTTTGCCTAACATTGCTATTTGTGAAAATAATCATGAAATGAAATTATATTTCGGAGACGAAATTCAATGGCGTTGCAACCTTTCAACTTGCCGCAGTAAAAGAAGTATACGGAAAGGCACATGGTTTGAATCATCGAGATTGAGTTTCTTGAAGTGTTTAAGATGCATTTATGGTTGGAGTGAAGAATTAACCTCAGTTAAATGGTGTGAAAAGCAGTTGGAAATCAGTCACGGAACAGTTTTGGATTGGAATAACTACATGCGAGAGGTTTGTGTTTGTAGGAGGCCCTGGTATCATCGTTGAAGTGGATGAAAGTATGTTTACGAAACG